AACAATCCGCCCCCGAATGAAATCAATAAATCTGCTCCACTGTTTGAATCCAATTTATCACTTTGCAATTTTTCATTTTTTCCACGCGTCAGCGGCAACGTCGATGAGCACAATGAAGCAGACCACAGTGGAAAAATACTTGTAATTTGTGGTTTGATATATCTATACAACATTTAAGATACAAGACAATTTGCATACAATTTAATATACCTCTGGTTTGTATATTAATATTAACACCAATAATCTAGCTTTAGAATGGCGAATGCCATCGACAATAATATTATTAATAATAATGTATCAAAGCGTAAAGAACATGTTATGAAATCTTTGATGATATTCATTCCTCTGCTATTTAGAAAGAAAATGAACTAAATGTTAATGTTATATTGTTATTTCATGTGCCATCCACAGTCAGCGTTTAATATGGCTTCTAATTTTCAACTTAGAGTTTTTTAACATTTGTATTAAAGTCAACTTTTTTTCGAATTACTATTTGATTAATTGTTTTATTACAAATACAACAAAATTTGAAGCTGGAATCTTTTTTGCCCGGCAGCCAAAAGACTAATTGTCCTTTTAAAAGCTAATTTGCTGTCCAACCTGTTTCTGTGGCCTAAAACTCAGTAGTCCTAGTAGCTATATTAATACCTGACATACATATGTCTATTGGAGGTGTAAATGTTTAAATAAATTCTGATTGTTAGACATACTTAACTTTTCTTTATTCAAAATATTAGCTCCCTCGTTTTGAGCCCAAAATCGGTATTGTCAATTTTCGACTGCTGATCGCCCACTGTGCATGGCAGCTAACCACGCGGACAAGTAGCGGTAATTTTCACACATGCCCGACACATACACACACCCGATTATATACCCAAGCCCATCACCAACTCATCGTCTCACATTATGAAGTGGCTGTCTGGTTGCCGATTGGCGGCTTATCCGTACATTGTGCATATGCTGAAACGACTTTATTAGGCGCAACACGCTGCTGCGTGTAAGTAACGGACTGAGCATTAATGGCCGCCATTTCTTATGCAACACTTAGCGTGAGGCAGTGTGAGTGGACCACGCCCATTTTGGCACTTTGTGCACCAGCACTTACGAATGTCGCTTGGCTAGGTTATTTGCCACATGGCTTCGCTCTTATACTCTACTACTTCACACTGGGCGGTGATAAAATCAATGGGAATGGCGTTTAAACAAAGAGATCAACGAGATCTAAAACACTCCGGAAACTATACGTATTATTCTATATTCTGTGACTCGGAGTACCTTGCAATAATATCTGAAGTATTCACGAACAAAGCTGATCGGCATCTTTTGAAATACCCTGTACCCATTCTTAAAAAAACACGTAATACAATGATATAGTAATATACATGTATGTATTCTACTCTGTATTATACTCTCTATTTTATTCTGTATTCTACTCTGTATTCTACTCACTATTCTATTCTGTATTCTATTCTGTATTCTATTCAGTATTCTATTTTATATCCTACACTCTATTATACTCTCTCTTATACTCTCTATTCTTTTCTGTATTCTATTCTGTATTCTATTCAGTATTCTATTTTATATTCTACTTTCTATTATACTCTCTATTATACTCTCTATTCTTTTCTGTATTCTATTCTGTATTCTACTCTGTATCCTACTCTCTTTCTATTCTATTCCGTATTCTACTCTCTATTCTATTCTGTGCTTTTATTCTTTATTCAATTCTGTATTTTATCCTCTATATTTTATCCTATATTTTATTTTATTTTATATTTTTTGTTATATTCTCTATTGTATTCCATATTCTATTCTCTATTATTTTCTGTGTTCTATTCTTTATGCTTTATTATATTTTGTATTCTATTATCTATTCTATACAATATTATACTGTCTATCCTTTATTATATTTTATTCGGTTTTCTATTCTCTGTTCTATTGTCTTTTCTAATCTGTATTCTATTTTCTATTTTATTCAATAATAATACTGGAACTATTTCGCTAATAACTTTTCTTGGAATTGACCGATTTGGATGAAATTTAGAAAGTAGAAAACTGTATGGAGATTGCTTGTGCCAAGTTTGGTTTATGTAACTTTTGAAATGTGGACAGTAATGACGAAATTGTGTAGCGTGTGACGGGGCTATGTTAACTTTAATAGTCTTTGAGATCCTTGCATTCATCCAGACGGACGGACGGACGGACGCACGAACATGTCTAGATCGATTCGTCTCGTCATTCTAATTCCGAATATATATACTTTATGCGGTCGGGGATGCTTCCTTCTGCCTGTTACGTATTCTACACAAACTAGAATTTTGGAGGCTTCTTGAATGTCTAAGGACTTAACAGTTCGAAATGTAAAGTACGGAAGATTCGTGGTGGTTGTCATATTTTATTCAATTCATCATTCCCATCAACATTGGCACTCTACTATTGAGTTGTTAAGCCTCAGACGTACAAGTACGAATATAAATTTTGTTAACTATTTTATTGCTCTTTCCACAAAATGGTTAATCTTCTAGAAATGTACAGATAGACAAAAATAGAAATATAGATATTTTAAAGTAGCAGTATGATTCAGAGTTTCAGGGTATTCGGCTTCGGCTATGCTTTATCAACAGCCTTATACTGCATGACTCTGCGCTTCGTTTCCTTTTGCCTGGCTTTCTCCCACTTCCTCCACTTACTGCCGATCGATCAATAATGAAATTTAGGAAATATTTCGCGCGCACAAAAGCGAGCGGTAGTTGGTAGCTGGCGCTGTAAATTTGGGATGCCTGGCAGCTAAAATTCGAGCTGCGTTTGCAGCTTTTGTGAAATTTTATAAGGTTTTGCATATTTTGAGGCGCAACGAGCCATGTGTTGAAATGTTTTGTGTGCGCTCAAGTTGCGGAAGTGATAAACAGGCGGCTATACAGCGTTCTGTCCTGTAAATAAAAACACCTTCAACGTATTTTTTACATTAAATATATTTAGATTTATTTTCCAATTTTTTGAGGGCACAAATATGCAGCGCACAAGGAACGGGCACACTTTGGGATGTAATATTAAATACACAGTTGGTTGGTAATGCATATTGGAATGATTTGCGTTTTTTGTTTCAGCTTCCAGAACACGCTCCTTGTGCGTGCTGGCCAGATTTGGCCCAAAATCATCTGTAATGTGGTTTTGTGGTTTTTAGTAAACTTACATCAAATACATTTATATATATATATATATATATTCTTTTTGGTTTGTTTCTTGTATCATATTTTCATACTGCTTTTGTTTTTGGGCTACAGCCGCTTTGTTTGCTTGACAATGCATTTTTCTGGTAAATATCCATATATGTGTGTATGTACGCTGTACTCCAATCTTTGTGTGTGTGTGTGTGTACATACAAGTTAAAATAGTTAAGTAAGCTACATGTAATTATTATTATAAACTTACGTTACTTGCGCATTTTCCTGTTCCATACAAAATTAGCTTAACTAAATTACAATGGCAAACAAAAACGAAATATAGCCGTATGCTGTCAATTAGCAGGAACGAAAGAGTCTTTGGTAAAAAGTTGTACAGTGCCTAGTCAATGATAACAAATCAATTTTTATTAAAAGCATTTTATGCATCTTTTCAAGTTACTAAAAAATACGTTATTTATTTACTTATTTGTTTCAAATGTATATGAAACTTACGTAGAGAGACAAGTCAGTAGAGTCTTCCAATCAAAGCCCTAAGTTTTTAGCAATTGCAAAATATAATTTTGTTGTCAAAAACTACACCAACATATAGTAGTGCACTGCTTACCTAAGTACTTATAAGATTACTAGTAGACGACTTAAATTTGCAATTTGGTTTTCTTTTTCAATGTTTTCCATTCTTATTTCTTAATCAAAACACTAAATACATTTAGCTTCTGCCCACGTACTTACACTACTTTTACTGTTTTTTTTTTGTTATGTTTTGTTTTATTTTTGCAAACGAGTTTTTCTTTCATTATTTTAACTGGTTTTTCTTTTGCTAGGCTGACACGATTTTCCTTTCCTCTCGTTAGATACGAGTATGCGTAAGGTGCAAGAGCAAAATTAGTGGGACAAATATTAACTAAATTCAATTTGAACTAAGAAAACACGATAGATATCAAAATATATATGTGTATGTGGGTACCCTTTTTTTAAAGAGCCTGCCACCTCTTTGAGAAAGAAAGAAGGTGCAAGTATATACCTCGAAAGTCCTTCGACCAAACTTGTTTCTCTTCAGTGGCAATGAGGAACTAATTGCTTCCTTTCGACTCTTAGAGGATTACTAAATGAACGAACTCAATATGCAGACTTTTCATGGGGACATGGAGAAAAATATAAAAGTTGTTGTCCTATACAAGTATAATTTTGTCGTGCACCTTATTACACGTATATGTCCTCGCTACTGTCTCTTTGCTCTTTTGGCTGCAGTGTCCTGTCTCGCTCCCTTCATCTGTTCTGCTGCTGGTGCTGATTGTCCACTAAAAACTATGCTTGCTTCTTATGATCTATTTCATTTGTTGTTATTTCTGTTGTTGTTGTTGTTGCTGATGATGTTGGCAATTGCCCTATTTTATTTATGTAAAATTTGCTCGTTTTTGTTTTTATACACTTAATTTGCATACTTTATGAATTGTTAAAAACACATTAATAAAACATGAAAAGGTCCGTTTTTGTTTTTTTTTTTTACAAATAAAACTTTCAATTTGTGCACAATAATGTATAATAAATAAATGGTAATATGTATGGGTGTTAATCAATTTTATGCCGGTATGAGTTTTATTTCATTTCGTTTTGCTTCACTTTATTTAAATTGCATTACCCTTTCCCCCTGCTTGCATTTGTTACAATACATTTAAACATACAATACAGTACAATTAAATACAATACAATAATATATATTGTGTATACATTAGCATAATTTAATTTTATATATTCAGTCTTAAGCTACAAAAATCTTTATGCATATTTCTGTTTTTTGTTTTTTCCTTTTTTTTGCTTAACTTGCTACAATTTGCTTGTGAGTGAAAAAATTGAAAAATGCAAAAGAATATATAAGGAGTATATGTATATATTTTCGAATGCAGTCAAGTGGAAACAGAATAAAGGAGAGCTGAATTCAAGAGACAGTTTGTGTGGGCGTGGCAGTAGAAATGAGAGACTAAGCGTTGCGGAAACAGGTTGCGTAGTATTAGTACTTAGTTTGTGATTGATGGGTCTGGTTTTTCTGGTTTTCGTCTTTCAGCTTACAATTAAAAAGCGCTCCTAAACTACGAGTAGTAAGAGTGAGAACCTATGGTCCAGGACCATCCGGTGAAGCCTAGGCTAACTATTTAGTACAAGTATGTGTGTAGCTATTATATCTCTATTTTCTAGTTTATATTTTCTATTTCCTAGTTACTCGTTTCTGTTATCAATAAAACGTTCAGCTGTTTGCGTTTATCTTACAAGCATATGCCTTCTGTTGGCCCTCTCAATACAACTCTATCCCTAGCCGTGTCTACCTGGTATAGTTTAGCTGTACCTGTAGCTTGCTGCAGCATCTAAGACGTTTAGCGCTTTCCAAGTTTATTTTCTTTTTTAAACTGTATGTACCCTTGCTCAAGTAAACAAATGGCAAACAAATGATTCGATTATACACGTAGATACATATAGTATGCATCGACTCTATGGCTATTTAAACTATGTAAGTATTTATGTAGTACTGTGTATTCATTTAGTGGTATTGTAGTATGAGTTAAATGAAACGCCAGTTTGCTCGGAGGTTCTCTTTTGCATTCATCAATTAGTTATTATTTTGGTTTTTCTTGTTTAACTGTTTTTCTGTTAAGTTGTTAGGTTGTTAGGTTGTTGTTGTGTCTGTCTGCTTCACTGCTGAAATTCTCAAGTCAAACTAACTTTACAGCTAAATGCTAAATTTATATGAGTTAATCAAATTCCGTTCTTTACATATTTACATAGCTCGCAGGCTGTCTGCGTTTTGTATCTTTATAATTTCTTAGATAAATTCTACCATTCATATTTTTGTGTTTTTTCTTTTTTTTCTGAAGCTCGTTTCCACAATGTTGTCTAGTCCCTTGTCTTGACAGTGGCTTCTTCTGGATTCCGTTTTTGTGTGTTGTAATTTTATGTTGATAGCTGAGATGGCGTTTAGTTACTGCAACCGCTCCAAAGTCAATTACCAAGCGACTACACTAAGGACTACCGAATGAATACTCGCGAGTATATACAATTAAAAACTCATAATGCGCCTTCAAATCTTCGCATCCGCTTCGGGCATAGAGCACGCTGGTTCCAATCACAACAAAAAAGCGGATGCAGATTCAGTAAAGGGTGCCATTATCCACTCAGCCCAAGTGCAGCATAATCAGATACAAGTAGACTACCAAGAGGAGGCCTGGTGTCGGTAGAGCTACCACTAATCTGGGGGACATGCTGGTTAGATCCTGGCCCACATTACTGCGTACATCCATAAGATCGCGAGAGAGCGGCAGTTCGGTGGGATCGCTAAGTTCGTCATGACACGGCAGCATCTCGGGCTTCAGCATGAAGAGCCTCACACTGATGGTGTTTTTGCCGGACAGTGCGTCCAGCGAATCGACATCGAGGCTGTTGCCCTGCTGATGGGTGAGCAGCACATCATTGTGAAGGTCAGTGGCGCCGACTAAACCACCACTGCCGCCATAGAATGAGCTCTGTTTGTGCAAATTCAGGTTGTCGTCCATGTCGAGGCCGCCATGACCCAAGCCGGGCACATGACCACCACCTGCATTGGACACATCATAGTCGTAGTCGTAGCGTTTGTGCGTGGGCGCCACTGCAGCCACCACAGCTGGTAGTCCAGTCTCTGCCGCCAGTTGTCGCCTGCGCCGCAACTTCGCCTCCACCACATTTTCAGCGCCCGTGAATTGTCGTTGGCCGCGCAACGCCTGCCGCGATTTGCTGCTCGGGTGCTTGCGACTGCCGATGCCTATGCCTGTACCTGTGGACAGGTCATCCATGCTGACGTAGCTGGAGCCACCCAGGGTGTTGCCAATGCCGCCCATGCTGGCGCTGTTGCTGCCGATAGCCGTGAAGCCGCCAATGTTGAGCAGATCCAGGATGTGTGACGGCACCGGGTCGACAAAATGCGACAGCTTGGGCTCCTGCAGCGAGCAAATGAAATCCTCCAGCGAGTCACGCAGCTGCAGGTGACGTGTGCGATTTTTCAATTCGAAGATCCATTGTAGCCGACAGTCGCAAATGAATTTGTTGTCTGTGTGCGGTGGCAGAGAGAGAGAGAGAGAAGAGAAAGAAATGGAAAGCGGGGGATGAATATAAGTGGCATTCAGCGCTTGGCATAAACGAAAATAAAAGGCACATTGACAGCTCGAAAGCCAAATGTGTATGTCCGTACGTTAGTCTGTCTACCTCTGTGTGTGTGTGTGTGTGTGTGTGAGTGTGTTTGTGTCTGTCTGTGTGCTTAACGCGCGTTGTATGTGCTCCGAAATTGCTTTTGTCACAAGTCGTCGCCGGTAGACCGAACCAACCAAATTCTGAAACCCATACACATACCAAGTACTCCTCGCCTCAGCACCACGCCCGCCCGACCGTATCCGCACCAGCATTGTCTTTGCTTGGCCGCACAGGTGAGGCATTGTAGCCATTGTGATTTCCGTCTAGCTTTTGCTCTCTTCTCGCTCGGCCTTTAAGTGGCAGCCGAACCACCGAGCACAGTGCCGCAAAATCAGTAGACAGATATATACAAGTATTCAAATGCTGAACAAAAACAATTCATTTCCTCCTCATTCCTTTCAATTTCTAATCACAATAGTCCTAACTCTAATTTTTGTACAATTAAATTTCTTTCCATTTGTCTTTGTTTTAAATATCTGAATCGTAAGATGGTTCTGCGTTCCTTGATTCATAGATCTCTGTAGCTTGAGGAGCTTGCTTAATGCCTATTATAAGGCCATAGAAGTTGTAGACAAAGTTCCAGTTCTGTCTAAAAAGCTACAAATAAAAGGCAGGACTGATTTGACATGCCTTCAAACCACTGTGCATTGGTTGTCTGCAACAATTTGCTGTCATTTGCTGGCCATATTCTTTTTTCGGCTATTTTAAATGATTTTACTGTTAAATCGTGCCTGGCCGTCAATGACATTTCCAATTTGAGCGACGCCACAATATCCCAGCAGCTGCATCTTCACTGGGCCCTCTACTTTGACTGTCGATCTGTTGTCGCTCCGTCTCCCAATGTATCCAGCTACCCAGTCGTTTGTCTGCCCATCGGTCCATTTGTCCGTTTGTCAGTCAGCCTGGGCCACATCGCACAGTTGGACACTAAACTGCTTCTGTCAATTATTTGACAGTCCTCCCTGTCTGGTCATGCGTGACTCGTCCTGCGTCGGCTTCGGTTTCCACTTGGTCATTCAATTCGAATGCCGCACGTTGGGCCTCTGTTCTGGGGAAACCAATTTGCTGTTTAGTCATCTGCGTTTGCCCCGTTTGGTCCTCAATTGAGCGCATAAAACGAGTTGCTGCTTACTTGCTTAAATTGCACTTGGCAGGCACTTAAATCTCTCAAGTCTAATTATTGCCAAGGCAGCAAAAACTTGGCGCATTATTAGCATAATCGTTGGCATAAAATAGTATCGGATGCTTTAGAAAATCCACTGACTTACTGCCTTACTGACTCGCTACACAGAAATTCACGAGGCATGTGCAACATCATTATCAATGCACACAAATCACAAACGAGACGAGCACAAAAACACTTTGAGCAGAAAGCCAGCCAGCCAGCCAGCCAACCAACCAACCGACCAAGAATTCAAACAGCCAGGCTCTCGCTCCACTGCTTGACAATAATCTGTAGCATATTTTGTGGCAATGCCAAAAGTTGGCCCGCTTTGTTGTTGTTGCCTGAAGCGAGCTGCGCCGCAGACGACAAAAGAAAACTTTCCTTGCAAAAATAGTTGGCAAATTAGACGGGAAGAGAAAAAATAAGAAGTGGCAGGAAGAGCTGCGGCAGAAGCAGCAGCAGCAGCAGTTCCCATTGGGCGGCAATAGAAGTCAAAAATTCTAATTTTCCATATGAAAACATGCAAAAACCATAAATAAAGTTAAACACGCAGTGGCAGGGTAGCCGGGGCAGCCGACAAAGGGGACAAGATGTGGCAACAAAGGAAAGAGCGCATGAAATGGCAAAGTGGCGAGCTGGGCAACGACAACGACAACGACTTGGCAACATTTAGCAACCAAATTACGACAAAATTAACATGATAATGAAGTGGCGAACAGTGGCACTAAGTTGGGTAGAAAAACCTACAAAACTTGATATGAGGGGGGAGGTGGGGTGTCAGCTGAAAACTGGCAGCTGTTTTGAGTAGCTGACCAAATGACAATGACTTGCTCGTCCTCGTTGGTGACGTGCACGACGAGTTCCAGCTGAGGGGCACATTAGGGAACAAAATAAACGAAAATGTGTTTAAAAAAAATATGCTTAACAACGTCGAAAAATAATATGGGTAGTTCGTTAAAGTATTTTAATGCACACGTACTAACTTAACGAGGATAGTGTGATTAAAATGCATTCATGCAAAGAACAAAAGAATTATAAAATGTTTGTAGATTCAATAGAGCTCACCAATTTAAAAATCTGTTGACCTTTTCAAAGTAAAACTCTTTTACGGAGCCTCGGATGGAGAAGATTCACCGAAGGCTAGATGTCTACGAGTCACATTTTAAATTATCAAATGAAATGTATAATTTATTTTATTTGTTGACGACCGATTTTGCTTTGATTATTGGGCTAAATGGTAGGCAACTTTTGCTCGTACTTAGACAACTAACCCCTTTCATTCGTGTTGCTTTTGAAATAGCTGTATGCATATATAATATTTAACCATATGATTGAGTAAAAAATAAAAAATAAAAATTAAACGCCATTTAAAGTAATTCCATAGCATAGAAACTGGTTTTTACTATCGTTATCATAAAGACTTGGAGATGTAAAAAATAATGCAAAATTATTGAATTATTATTGTGTAAATAGCTAACTGAATTACGAAAGGACTTGGGTATTCATCGAACCGCCTTCGCATTTAGATACGAAACGGGAACACTCCACATGCCGCATAAATGTATGGAGAAAACGGTCGTGTGTATACTCGTAGTATAAAATACTTTTATATTTTTAATGATACTTTGGCAAAGCGGTAGGAAGTGTTTTGGTCTCGTGAATGCACACACACCCACACATTCATACACAAATCCACACACGCCCTCCTCATTTTGCATGCAATGAACTTGGACAACGCTACAAGTTAAAAGTTGTGTGGGACTCTTCGCACCACCCCCCACCACCCTGTACAATCCTTTCCACTCGGCTATTACTGTCGACTAGATGACTTTCAACTCCTGCTGCTCCGACATGACGTCGGAGTTCTCCTTTTTTCGGTTGCAACTGCCGGAAACGTTTTTACGGTTTGCAAGGGACACACACAAACATAGACACACATGCATATGTATATATATATATATATATATATTTGTACATACATAGATATGTGCATATGCGTCTATGTGTACATTAAATTTTATTATTGTCATTTTCACAGTGCACACAATCTACACAATCTCCTGCCCACTCGCACTGCCCCCTCTCGCCACTGTCCTTTGGTCGCCATTTACTCACAAGTTTTCGGTCACTGCTATTTGCATAAATGCATGTGTGTGTGTGAGTGGGTGTGCGTCTATGTCCTGTGCCTGACAGAAGGCAGCAGGCAACCAAATTAGACTCAGCTGAACTTTGTTTGGTCAGTTTTAATGCAAATGTGTCTATGAGGCATTTCATGTGTCGAAACATATTCATAATTAGTTGTCAGTGTATGCCTGGAACATAGACTCGCTTTATAAATACAAGTACATGTGTAGTATGTGGGTGTGTGTGGGTGTGTGTATGTACATGGGTTGCCATAGAAGAAATTAATTTAAATTAAAATTTATTTGGAACATGTTTTGCTGCACACGACACATACACAAATTGCTGTAATGTCGGTCCCAGCCTCAAGGGCTACAATAGCATGTTCGCCCCCTTCTTCTTAATAGAGGCAAACAAAGGGAATGTTGCACAGGACCTTCGAGTTTATGCTTAGCTTTAATGAGCTCTGACAGCGGCTGTCATACATCAGGCGGGGCAGCCGTCTAAACAGCATTTCATTAGCTGCCCCACTGAGAAAGAAAAACATTTATTTTAAATTTAATATAACAGGGAGCTAGTCAGCAGTTAGCACCCAGCAGTAGGAGCCAGGGAGCCGAATAAAAAAGGGCAGCCTGACGCTTTAATTGGTTAGCGGCGTATTTTTTTTTTTTTTTTTACCCCTGCTGCTGCTTCTTCTGCTGTCCAGAAGCCTCCTCCGAACCAATGTGCGCCTTTTTCTTTGCGGCTGCTGCTGCGGCGTATTGAAAAGCGAGAAGAAACCGACTGTAAAAAAGCAGGCAACCGAGCGTTAGTCGGCCCATTGCCTGAAATATCAACACGGACGCCGAAAGTTTGCACACGCCCCCAAAAAAATTACGCAGCATAGCCGTTACTGCAGCATCCTCAGATGCACAGTGTGGCAAATCAAGACCAGCTTAGATTTTCTATATACTTTATACATGAATAGGAGAAGCAAAATCGATTCAAAGAGACGGTGCTACAAGTATATAAATTGGAAATGGCTTATACACTTTTTATACTTTTGGGCTAATAAAAGCATGAACGAATTACTATATTGCAAAAATAAAATAATAAGTAAAGTGATTTAAATGTAATTAATTGCATCGAAAATTCAATCCTCATAAATGGGGCTGCAAATAGTTGTTTAATTTGTTTAATTCAGTTTAGAATCTGCCTAATCCAAGATGCATTTTACGCAAATGCTACAAAAAATGGCAAAATCAAATTTTAATTCATTTTTGTGTCTCATAACAAAATGATGTTCCAATAGATAATATTTGAGGCGATCTCTGTAGTGGGTAAGAGAACTAATCCAAATAAAGAACTATAGTATTTATTGATATTATTAATGATTGGAGCATTCCAGCGTTTTTGTAATTTGTGGAATAGCTCCACGGTGCTGTATCGCTGCAAACAGTGTGCTGGCCTACTTCGTCCCTTTGTTTCGTCCTGACGTCGGGGCACAATAAACGACGCCACTGCTGCTGCTACCGCCACCGCCACCGCAGCCGCAGAGGCGATGCCGACACAGCTTTGTTTGAAATCAGCTCATT